ACCTCCATGATTCGAAGTTCCAAGAAGTTATACAACCATAGTAAAAGTACAATTTACATTGGTACAAATATGTAAATTAGGTATAGTGTGGAGTTGATTCTACCTTTGCTGTAAGGAAAGATTAGGTGTCCTCCTGTGTGTGTGTTTTGGTTTTTTTTTTTTAATTATTTAGAATTTTGCAAAGTCAGGAGGAGGAAGATTAAATTTGCAGCAGTTTTCATAACTTGCTGAAGGTGGAAAAAATGTACAGTGTGTAGATATATTTTAAAAACTGCAGTGCTCCTTTCAAGACCTTGTTTTAATACCTGATAGTTATTCTTTCTCATTAAGAAGTGTTTAAGGCAGGCGAATATTTTTGTATTGCAGAATAGTGTGACAGATTTAGAAAGCAGGCTACAGACTAACTTTTTTAATACCATCTTTAAACTGCTATTTTGCTCTTAACTGCACTGGCTATGAGAACATCTTGTAGAACTTAGTATCTGCTTCAATAGTTCTTTGACTCTAAATTGGTTATAAATGATTATAGTAGCAAGAGCAACATAAAAACCTAGTACAGCAGCGTATTGTTTTATAACTTGGTTACCAACTGCTCTCTGAGCAAATAGTATTAAATCACCTCACCAGCTGTATATTTTAGATCCATTCTTCATGATCAATGAAAGTCGGGACAAAACAACGTGATGGACATGAGTAAGTGGCAGCACACTTCGGAATGCATCAGTTCATTTACCTGTGGGCAGAGCTGGCTCGGTTGAGACAAAGACCAAGGTTTTCTAAGATGATTAACATGGTGCAGCTCTGTTTCTTTAATGTATTTTCAGAGAATAAAGGGAGCATGATGTTAACCTAGTTTGACCTTCTGCATAAGGGAAGTCATAAATTCCCACCAACAATTTCTTCATTAAGTTCAGACCACAGAACAATTGTAAAACAGTTTCACATGTTAACTTTCTATTCTGTTGAATGCAAAAAGGTCTGGAACTTTGGTAGATCCAGATCACAGTACTTCTAATAAAGTCTAACACTATTCTGCTTTCTTTTGGAAGACAAAGGTTTCTCTTTGTTGCTAAGACTTTTTGCCCAGATCCATCCCTTTTTCTTCTCTGACATAGTCCCAATGTTTTGAAGAAACATCTGTTTTACAGTCGCACTAGATTTTCTGTATTGGCCATTGCATTAGATCCAATTAAAAAAATAAAAAAACAAACCAAACACTTTAACCCCTCGGTCCCCAGTATAAAATCCCCCACCCTAACCTTCAAAAATGCAGGTACCTGCACTCTTTTTTTCTATTGAATTGGCACCTTAGATGATTCTCGTGAATAATGGAAATTCCCATAGAAACTCCATCTCTCCGTCCTATTAGAATAATAGATAGAATAGGTAGAAGGGTCAAGCGTCTCAGGGTCCATGGATCTTGTGACTTTTGCTTTGTTCAGTTTTAAAAGGAAAAAAAAAAGAAGGCCACTTTCCCCTGTAAATATCCTACAGTGAAGGGGTTAGGACAGTTCTTTAAAAGCCCCAGTCCTATCTATGTCTGCTGGATGTGCTGTGAGCGTGCCTTTCAGATGGGGCTTGGACTTTCAGGGATGTAGGCTTAGGCAGGTGTCTAGCTACTAGGATACAAACTAGAGCTGTTCTGGGTGTGCGCAGGAAACAGACTTTCTAAACCAAACAAGGACATGCCTAAAGAACTTAAACACATCAGAGTCAGCAGTTTTTCTGGATAGCAGTTTTGGACCTGAACACTTAAATCTGTGTAAAACTGCTTAAGATGATCTTGGCATCTGATATTCTGCCCAAAATATGTGGATATTTCAGAGCAAAAATACCTGTTATTTGTTTGGCTGTTCTGTATACATATAGCACTGGAATTACATTTAGAAAACAATCATCATTAAAATGAAAATTGCTCCGACTCTACAATCTCTGGAATCTGAATTTAATTCAAGGTGGTGTATTTGTTTAGATAAATGGGGCTTGATCTCTAACCTGACCTTTACTGAGATGGATTTTTTTAAATTGTTTTTTAAAAGGCTAGTTAATTTTAAAAATTTGATTGTTATTCATCTCTCTTCCCCTTTTAGTCAGGACCAGGAGTAGAGACAATGACGTTCTATTACCAAAAAAGTTACAAATAATTTTCAGCTGATATCTCCAAGTCATCTGGAAGCAGGACTATTGTAAATGCTGACAGCTTTTTTTCACAAGAACCTCGTTCTAATGTAAAGATCAAAGAGGAAGAGGCAAACATTTAGTCTTCTAAACTCCCTGAACTGTTCCTCATTGCCCCGGTGTTTGAAATGTGCCTATAGGTAGCCAAAATGCTCCTAAGCTTGAAGCCCATTTGCAGTTTGAATGGCAACTGCATGACATGCTTCTTCATGCAGATTTGCTTATGCCCATTGCTTATGCTCTTTTACTCCTGTAACAAAGAACGTTTTCCTTGTCATCTTTCTTTGAATCTTACCTCCCTTCAAGGAAAACACTCATATCTGCTTTTAGGCCTTCTTTCTCTTAACCTTGTTACTGATACAGTGTCCCTTCTCCTGCTGTTCCAGTAGCACTCCTTATACCTGGTTAGGAACCCTCTTAGGTATCTGTTTCAGTCTGAATTGGTCCTTGAACACTGCTTCAGGTGGATACGCTATTCTGGATGAGGTCTCCGTAGTGTCTTGTAAGATAGCATTGTCGTCTTTGATTCTGCTGGTGAAGTCTCTGCCCAGAGTATCCTACTGTTTCATTTGTCTTTCTCACTGATGTCTTAGATTGGGAATGAATGACTAGTTCGTAGACCTCTTGAGTGTTTTTTTTTTGTTGTTTGAGTATAGGTGTCTATGGCTTAGACATCTGTATCTGAGCTTATCACTCTAAAGTCCTTTAAATAGTCCTTTAATAGTCCTTTTAGCAGGTTATCTGTCTAACCATCAAATCCAGTTTATGGCTATGAGTTCTCTTTATTTCAGTTTACCAACGTTAAAACAGCTTAGTGAATAAATGTAATGAACCCTATGAAGGTTATTAGGAGCTGAAAGTATATGCAGAATAAAGCAGTAAGAAGTAATGGATGGGCCGTTTGTTTTAATGGCACCTTCAACAATATGGAGGTGTAAGGTGTTTGTAAGATATATTGAGATCCTTAGATTAAAGCTGATTTAACCTAAATAAAAATATGTAGATTTTATAGATGTGATAAAATATATACATAGACAGTTTGTAATAGGCAAAGGCCTATGCAAAATAAAAATGTGATTGAGTTCTGAATATTCATGCCACTAATAATTTACTCTAGGAATTGTATTCTTAAAGATAAAACATTTAGTATATCCTATTGATCAAATGAAACAAATAGGATAACTGAATTAGATAACAAACACTACAGCTTCTCAATAAGTTCTTATTTCATCAGCTCTCCAAAGTATTTTTCAGGATGTTTTTTATGTTGTATCCAAAGTTTCTCAAAATCCTGCAGTGTAGTAAAATATATTTCTGTACTTTGAAAAGCTACAGTAGAAGTGATATTGCCACTAGTCCCCTGAAAATGAGTCAGGAGCCTTTCTCTTCCCTCTGTTACCTTCCTCTTACCTCCAAATCCAAAACTGTGCCCTGAACAAGAACATAATCACTGCTATTCTAGCAGTAGACAGTGATATCAACTCCAGTCAGTCTTTCACTTCCCTCTTCTATTGTTCTGAATACTTAAAAGATTTCAGTAGAAGTCACAGAGAGAAATTCCTGGAGAAAATTCACATTAATCTTCCAGTAAGTTTTTACATGTGGCGAAGAGAGTTCCACTTTCCTTTTCTTCCTCTCCAAGGTCTAAGAATTGCATATAAAAATGACCTCAGTTCTGGAGCCTGCCTCAGTTACAGTTGCAGCGGTCTTCTGCATGACTTCAGCTAGCTAATTAAAATTTTCAGTAAAGTCTGCACAATTGAGGCAAAGAGCCTATATACATCATTTCTCACTGCTTTACAGTGTATATATTTTCAGCATCTAATAGCCTTGATGGGGATCATTGCATTCATTCTTAAGGCTGTAAGTAGTTACGTTTTGGCTGATATTTTCAAAAGTGGCCCTTAAATTTGGCATAATTGCAATGTTCTGGACTCGCAGAGCCCCTCCAAGAAAGTCCTCAGTGTGCATGTGGTTTTTTTGTTCAGTTAATTAGTTAAGATGGAAAATTTTTCAGTCTTTTAAGATTGTGACTGTTTAGCCCCAGCTTTGGATGCACTTGATCGCTGGATTCTTCCTCAGTGTCTCAAAACTAGTAAAGTTTAAAGCTCCTTAGGCTGTGTCAGATGAGAAACATGGGAAGCTTCCCCCCCTCAGTCTGTATTATCCTTTTGGGGCACCACTCCTTCCTCTGCACATCTCAGCCCAAAACTTCCTTTTGCAGGGTGTCATTAAGATATTGAATACTTGAAAACCATTGAGCTTTTATATTTATCAGGTAAAAGTTGAGCATATATATGCAAATATATTTTGTTTGTTTGTATGTGTATATGTAGGTGGAGACATGTGAGTATCCAGAGTAGTAGTATGTGGTTTGATCTGTATGTAGCTGCACTTTCATGAAGAGTGTAATCAGAGGTACGCTTTCTAATTCATAGACGTTAACTCAAGTTAAATGGGATTTTTCTTTGCCCCCTTTCACCTCCATGGAATTCCAGCCATATCTGCACACAGAAGTGTTACACAGTTGTGGTGGGAAAGAAAGGGAATTCATACCATGAAAACAGCTATACATTTTTAGTTTGGACTTCAATTTTAGTTTAGCACTGTCTTCTGATGCAGAACACTCCTTTTTTAATTTGTATGAAGTCCTCTGAGAGGGTAGTGGTCGCAACACAAAAGACAGATTGGTCTGACTTAAATAATGTTTTACTGTCCTCTTTATTTGTAATAAATTTCTGTCTTTAATGGATTAATAAGGTAGTAGTGGAGTAGTGAAGCTGTAACTATTTTTTTACAGAAATCTTTTCACTCCTTTTCAGTATACATCAGCTCTCACCTATGATGCTGTTCAAGTGATGACAGAAGCTTTCCGTAATTTACGTAAACAGAGGATTGAGATCTCCAGAAGAGGAAATGCTGGAGATTGTCTTGCAAATCCAGCTGTGCCCTGGGGTCATGGTGTAGAAATAGAAAGGGCATTGAAACAGGTAGCCTCCCTAGAATGAATGCTGGGGTGAGTGTGTGTGTGAAATGCTCTGTAAATGTTTGAAAAGGACTTTCCAGTCTCCTAACCTGGATTTTGGTGCAATTAACATGGAAATTAACTCCTCAGAAATCTCTCTCTTTTCTGAGATAAACTCTTTGGTATGGAAAGGAGTCTAAACTGAATGTTTTTACAAGTCAGTGTTCAGTTATGGAAATACAAAATACCTTTTGAAAAAAGGAACAAATTTGATTCTATTACTGCTCTCGTCTTCATCTGTATAGGTTCAGGTGGAAGGTCTAACAGGGAATATAAAGTTTGATCAGAATGGAAAGCGAATCAATTTTACAATAAACGTCATGGAGCTCAAAAGTACTGGTCCTCGGAAGGTAATTTGAATTCTAAGTGTTTTTAAAGGTTTTACCATGCTAAGCAACATGTTAAGGTAGGTAATGAAACACTACAGATAATTAGAAGAGTGAGTTGTGATAATAAGTATTCATAGGGGTATTTTGTGATGGTTTTGCTGGACAAAGTAAAAATATGTGCTGTTTGTTTCTAATACATATGGGGTTTTATTTCTGGTAAGTACTTTTCAGTTTTGTGGATTAAACTTTTTGTTTTCTGATCCGAACTGCTAGATGTGAAACAGTGATTGGGGGAAAAGTTGACAATATCCTTCTGAGTGACAAATACAAAATACAGCTTTTTTGCTGATGGCTTTTTAAATGTGACTGTCTTTCTGCTTTAATCCGAAACCTTTCAGGAAAAGCCAATTTCTCATGTCTTCCTAATCTGGAGTATTTCATAACCGTTTTAATTCTGCCATGTGTGGCATTCGTATGAAAATATGCTAATATGTGAATGAAAATGGTACAGCTGTATTAGGCAGAATAATAGCAGCAAATTTCAGTGTTATTACTCTTTGCTCAGCCTTTTTAATTATGTAATATATGGATAGGGATATAGACTGGTAAATCCATGGCTGAAATAGTTTTCTGTGGGTGTATATCAAGGGCATAATAACAATATGCTTTACCTTTCTATGAAAGTTCATATTCACCAGTGTCTGTGCATCCTATAAACTCTTTTTAGATTGGATATTGGAGTGAAGTGGACAAAATGGTTGTGAATCCTCTTGATGGCCCTCTTGGAAATGAATCTTCAGGACTAGAGAATAAGACTATTATTGTCACCACTATTTTGGTAATTAACCTCATGCTTTGTCAGAACACAGCAATGATTTGTTTCTCCTCATTATATTAGTTTAAATATGCTGGATTTTTTTGAAGTAGTTCTGCTTTACTAATTATGATACATAAATACAATTTCTGGAAATTTAGGAAATACATATGATTCAGTATGCGGTTTGGTTCTGTAGAAAACAAGTGGTCATTGACTGGGAAATGAGCATCCTAGAATGCTAAATGTTTTAAGCAAGAAAACAGTAATGAAATACCTACTTTCAAAGAAGAGCACTCTATCTGAAAGGCAGAACGACAGTGTTAGTTTTTAACTAGTTATTGTGCTTATTAGAGAATGCATTTTGCCAAACAGGAAAAAGACTGGTTCTACGCTTCAGAGTTGGAGCCACGGTGAACTTCTCTCCAAAAGTGTAAAATAAAACATTATAAGTTATATTCTAGTAATTTAGAGAGTAATGTGATGTACTGTTGTAGAGCAGCTTTTTTTTTTTTTTTTTTTTATTTACACAGCTTCTTTGTCACTTTGCATAGGTCACAATCTAGTATAGAAATTTCACTGGCTGCAGGAATAGTTGGGTAACAATTGAGCAAAGAGAAGATCTATTCCTTTAATATGCCTTATGACTCATCACTAGTTTTGCTTATGATAGAACTTTACTCCATGGTTGTAGATATCTTTTTTGTATGTGTGTGCAGTAATTCAATAACGATATAGCCTGGAGAGTCTGAAGTGGCTTTGCAGGGAGGGATGGGGTTTTGGAATAGGAAAGAATGTTCTTGTATTAAGACAACAGAGGAACTAAATACCTTTGCCTTCTTCCATCCAAACTGTAAGAGAGAAAGAAACAGATTTTGGAACTTACTCTCTCTTCTCTGAATGCATAACTCCTGTTAACATTCATGGTCATTATTAAAATACTCCTGGCAATCATTATACCTGTAAGTATTGATATTTGTACATGACTGTGGTAAATGTAGTTTTGAATGTTTTACAAGACATGTCACATTAATAATTAACAGCTGAGATATATAATAAACTATTGAATGTATATTTCAGATGTTATATATTCTCTTTTTTTCCATGTTTAAAAGGTAACACACTCACCTGAGAAATACAGAACTGATGTATCTGTCTCTCTACCAAGTAGCTAAGGCAAGTTCTTTCTGTGCAGGAGTCCCCATACGTCATGATGAAGAAAAATCATGAAATGCTTGAAGGAAACGATCGATATGAGGGCTATTGTGTGGACTTAGCTACAGAAATTGCTAAACACTGTGGATTCAAATATAAGCTCACAATTGTTGGGGATGGCAAGTATGGGGCCAGGGATGCAGATACGAAAATCTGGAATGGGATGGTTGGAGAACTTGTTTATGGGGTAAGAGCATTTTTTATAATAAAGCCATTAAAGATGACTGATGGAAATAGTGGAATTTGCTCTGGTTTTCTCCCTACAGTAGAGGAAACTGATGTAATTCCTTTGTAGAGGATGAATGACTTGTCTTGGTATGAAAAAATATTAAAAGAAAAACATGCAATTAGATTTTTTAAATGCAAACCAAGCTTGGGGGGGAAGAGTGCATATTTCATTTGTCTGTCCAGATGAAAGGCAGTGTGCTTTACTAACACTTTTAAATATCATATATTTTGAAAAGGGCATGTGTAAAAAGGGAAGCTTGGAATAAGCCAGCCATATGGTTATATGTATTTCAGAAAAGAGAATTTCAATTAAAAATTTATCAAATTCTCATAGTGCATTCTCGGCAAAGTGACTATTGCCAGCACCTCTGCTCCTCTTTTTCATTTGTGAAATGCAATAAGAATGAAACCATTCTTTGCTCTGATTATTGTATCAGTTATTACTTTGCTTTTTTTTTCTTTACAGAAAGCCGATATTGCAATCGCTCCATTAACAATAACATTAGTGAGAGAAGAGGTGATTGACTTCTCAAAGCCCTTTATGAGCCTGGGGATATCAATAATGATCAAGAAGCCTCAGAAGTCCAAGCCAGGAGTGTTTTCATTTCTTGATCCCTTAGCATATGAAATCTGGATGTGCATTGTTTTTGCCTACATTGGGGTCAGTGTAGTTTTATTCCTGGTCAGCAGATTTAGCCCATACGAGTGGCACACTGAGGAATTTGAAGATGGAAGAGAAACGCAAACTAACGAATCAACTAATGAATTTGGGATATTTAATAGTCTCTGGTTTTCCCTGGGTGCCTTTATGCAGCAAGGATGCGATATTTCGCCAAGGTTGGTTACTCGCCCATTTCGACTTTGTGCGTTTTTGGTCTCAGCTGGAGGATCATGGTGCATATATTTTCACTCTCAGGACGAAATGAGTTGCTATATATAGATTTTTTTTTTTCTCCTCCAGATCGGAAGTGCTTGCAATTTAAGCAGTTATCACTGACACAGGGTAACGATGTATTCGATCGATACTGTCTTAACATCGATCATATAGTTGCCAAGTGAACCTATATACACCATGCAGAGACTGTAAAATGCACAAGGTTCCAGTCATTCCATGCCTTCTTGGAGGGGTACCGTGTTTTTGCTGCATATTCCCATCTTACAGTTGACAGTGCATCTGTTTCACAACAACTGTAATGGGAAAAAAGGGTAACACACTAGTCATGAATGACACAAGTAGCATATTCTCTCCAAAACTCACTACATAGCCTAACACCCAGTTATTAACCCATTCTTTCTACAGGAGAGCCTTGAACCGAAATAAAAGTAATGTGATGGCTTTAATTTCTTGTGAATAGTCACAAAGCAATGATGTTTTTCTATAGCCTAGTTTTATAAAAGTCAGAAAATAAATTGCTAAAATGAATTTGAAGGCCCAATTTATTCATGCATCATTCCTTGTGGGATTTTTCACCTACTTTATTTTAGGGACAACTGTAAAGTACTTCAATTAATTCCTTTGCAGCTCGTTAAATATGCTATTTCCCTCCTGTACAAGTAGTTCTAGCCTCAGTTCAGCAAAGTGATAAGTAGGTAGGTAGGTAGGTAACTGCTCACTGTTTGAAGAAACTATAATAACAACTGAAATAGGGCAATTGGGTCTAAGGAAATCAAATCAGAAGAGCTTCCTGATTGTACTAAGTAAGTTAACTTTTTTCTAAACATCTCAAAGTGAGATAGGGAACAGGTCAATTTCTAGGGAGTATAGTGGTTATCATGCAAAACGCATGAATAAATCACATGAAAGAAGCATTTCTTTTATCTACATCTGGTAACGTAAAAGACATCGGTAGGTTTTCAAGTTGTTCTGCTGTGGAAATGGCAGAGTACTGGTTCTGTGAGAACTTGCACATTTCCATGCAACTTACACAGTAAAATATAACTGCCTTTATGAAGAAAGATGTGATAGATTTTGGCGCATGTATATGAAGAATGAGACAATAAGGAGAGATTGAATTGTTTCAGGTAATGAGAAACTGTGTTAATGTCCTTTGGGTTTTTTTGTATTGATTACACTCTTCAAAAGTTTAGTTGTCAGCAAAGTACCCTTTTAGCGACAAAATAATTTTTATTGAGTCAAGACCATAGTAGAATAATGATCGCGTACATTTTTTCATTTTGCTGGCTCTTAAAGCATGACACTTGTTGTGTGCTGTTTTGATAATATTTGAAAGGTGGTATAAGAGTAATGATAGTAAATTACCATCATAGAATGTGAAACTGAGCTCGAACTATTCTGGGGATTAAAGTGGCAGACTCAGTGTCCGTGAAATTTTTAACAGTACTTTTTTTTCATTCCAGCCATACTTCTGAGGAAAGTAGTTAGCTGTATGTTATCTCTGTTTATTATAAACATATAAAAGGCTGAAAACACTTCATTTATTTTTGTTCTTATACCAAACTTATCACCATAGTATTTGAACCCCCTGCAAATGAATTAAAGTGAATGTGAAACAGAATCTCTTCAGATATTAGCAAAATACATTTGTGAAATTATACCATTGCTATTACAAAAGTGGAAACAACTAAGAATTTTAGAGTGAAGAAGCTACTAAGGCTTCCTGACTCTGAAATGGAAGTAGCTGTAAGTAAGATTAGGCTATCTAGAAAGTAGTCAGCATAACAGTCCCAATGATGCCATGGTTTAATGACATTGAAAGAGTGATAGCAAAAGGAAGCAAAATATGGCAAAATTCCCCTGGTATTTTTTGAGATGTGAGCGTACTCTAAGAACTGCCATATACTACCTTCGTAAGTATAAAGTGTGTTGCACAAACTTAGGTATTTGTGCACACAAAGGATTATTTTAGTATTTAATGATCTGATACATGAGATGCTTGTACAGATGTGGGTTCTTATTGGCATGTAATAATTATTACCATCTTTAGAAATTTTCAAAATGTATGTAAAAACCAATGATTTATTTAACTGGAGCAGACCTTATGAGAAAGTTCTGAACATGAATCGTACCCAAAAAGATTTTGCTTGTAAGATGTCATGCAGGAACATAACGTCTTGCTTGGCACTGAGCTCAATCCCTTTTTACAAAGTGAGTACCAATTTTACTTTCTGATAGATCGTGCGCTTTTGCAGATTATGAATTGTTTTTTGTAGTGGATGTTGTCAATACAGTATAAAAGACCATGAAATCAGCACTGACATTACTACATACACGTTGTCAGAAGTTTACTTTGCAAATATGTTTATTATATAATTCAGTCTTTTAGTAGTAGAATTTGTTGTGTACTCAGGTAAGCTCCATGCCAAAATAGGTATATATTCTTTCAAAAGTGACAAAAAACATATTTGCAGAATATATTTCAATCTAGGAAGAACTGGGAATAAGTTTTTGTCTATGATCCTTTTTAATAACATAATCTGGACCATATCTGACTGTTGATTTTTGTGTAGTAGAGTGAATTAGTGAGTTTGTTGTGGCATGGAATTGGCCTTTTCATATCTCAAATACCATGGAGATTTTTCGCAATAACAGTCAGCAGAAATGATTTTTCCAGAATTCATTCCATTTATTTTTTGTTCCCAGCTTTACATAATTATGTTAAGTATTTAAAATTAAAGAATACATCAAAAATATATAGGTATAGTGATACATATATATCTATTTATATCTGATCAAAACTAGTTTGAAGTCTCATTCACAATAGTGTGAAATGGGCTGGTGAGTAATTTGCACTTTGTTTGCTTGATAGATACAAGAGACACATCAGGATATACCTAAGCTACTGCAGTTCCTTAGTACTAGACTTTCAACTACATGCAGATTTCTGCCAGAGAGTTAAGCACATCTCCAAACATTATATACTCCTTCCTATAATGCATTGTTTGGAAGTAAAGTAGTAATTACAAAGTTTAAAGGATCATTAAAAAAAGACGAGTCTGACAATGATGGCAGTATCAATAATTTTTTTCTATTACTTTTTCAGTATCAAAAATTAATTGAATTTCTCTAGTTGTGTACCCTATGCTGTTGTTGCTATATATTTTCTTGAGTTTTTTCTTTTTCTCTCTTCTTGAGCAGGAGACGCAAAACAAAGATCCGTAACAGCCCACCTGCTGCAGATAAAGCATCAGATTATTATTTAAAAATATACTTTCTCCACCATTTTTCTGTATTACCAGTTTGATTGTTTCATGTCTGGTTGTCAGTTTGTTAAGTGCTTGTATCTTCCAAAAACTGTGTGCATTTTTTTAGTTTATGGGTATTCCCTAGGACAGTTTTTATTGCAAATAATGGTATTTATTCCTCAGTATAGAATGTCCGCAGCAGTATAAAAGCGTTATTTTGTGGAAATCAATCTTTGTCTGAATGTCTTAGGAAAACAAGCAAGCTAAAGACATTTAATTTTTAAGTGCATGCTGGTTTGTCTGAAAGGACTGTTTCACTGATTTTGTTTGATTTCCTTTATACTGTCACAGAAATTCACGTTGAAGGGCATGACAGGCCTGTGTGTTGATATAGCATGTTATGATGGGAGCACTTTCATTTCAGGGTGTTCAGAACTTTGAAAAACTGAAGCACTTAAATTCTCCCTGAAGTAAACTTTAGAGTCCTGATTTCAGCAAAATCTGGGATATATAATGAAGTTTACTTTCTTACCCTGCAGAACTCTAGAATGCATTGATTTTCCATCTGATTAGTATGCAGAGCTGCACTTCAAGATAACCTGAAATACTTCCCTTTCGTATAATGCATCATTTGCATAAAACTGATAACGTGTGTTCCTTTTTAGGACTTTCATTTCACTTTACAAATCCATGTCATACTTGTTATTAGATCCCTGTCTGGGCGCATTGTTGGAGGTGTGTGGTGGTTCTTTACCCTGATCATAATCTCATCCTACACGGCTAACTTAGCTGCTTTCCTGACGGTTGAGAGGATGGTGTCTCCCATTGAAAGTGCAGAGGATCTTTCCAAGCAGACAGAAATTGCTTATGGGACATTAGATTCTGGCTCCACTAAAGAGTTTTTTAGGGTAAGACTTTTTATTTTCTAGATCTCGTTTTTGCTTTAAATTGGTCTTCATTCACGTAAATATTTTCTCCCTAGGCTGTTTTAAAAAAAGGTTGCTATGAAAATATGGTCTGTGCAGCCTTACTAACTCGCAAGTGTAAGTGTTTTTATTTTTCATCATGGTTAAATTTTATTATGTATATATAAATATAAGGACTGTGTTATAAATATTGCAAAGTGGCTCCGAGGAACTACCTAAAAATATTCTACTGTAAAGAAAAAAGCAAGATATGGTCATAGAAGGTAACTGACATCATTCACCTAGGCTGTATGACAGTAGCTAACAATTTTAAACAAGGCTATTTAATAGATGTACTGTGCCTTAGATAGGAGCATGGAAAGGTGCGCAGTCGTGCTTTAGTTATTTCACGTGATTTTTCGAGCTTGCAGGTGGGGAACCCCCTTGGCTCCCGTGCTAAATCTGTGCCTGCTTTTGAAAACAGTTATTTGTATTTGCATTACAGTAATGCTTTGGAGGCCTGTCAGAGCTTCTCATCTTCTACCTCAATGTATTTCATTTTTAAAAACGTGAGAGACCTCCAGAAAGAGGTCTCCAGCTGCCCTGAAGATATCAGCTCACTTGATGAAATCCGTCAGTGCGAATGAGTGAGATACTAATGCTGTTGGGAAAAATAGTTTGACTGTTTTGCAGTGTCTGTGCGCTCTGTGTGTCTGTCCCTGTAAGATGGAAGTGGATCGGAAGTGCTACAAATATGAAAAAAGTGTTGTTTTCTTGTTTTTTTTAATGGATGATAACAGTCTTAGATTTAAACAAAACATATTTGTAACCAGTTGAAATTTACTTTTACATTTCAAATATAGCTATCCCTGAAAGTGAAACAAATTCAAAAAAATATTTTTTTGCACTATATAGTTGCAGCAGTAACTGCTAGATCATTGTTTTCACTGGATTCTGTGATACATATTTAACTGGTAGTTTGCTAAATGGGAACTGTACTTGATTTAACTGTAGAAAAGCATTCATTAGTGATTTTAATGATAGACTTGATAATAAGGCCTAATTTTGATTGTATTCCTACTGATGTAAAGCAAAATTAGTTACAGGAGTGTGAACTAGTAAAAATGAGATCAGGTTTGTGTTAATACTGTTCCCAGCCTTCTAACAGGAATCCTAGTTTGAAGTGTTTAGTAGCATACAAGCATGTGTTTCTCTCTTTGTCGCTATAGACTTTTTAGATCATGGCTACACGGAAGATCAAATGTGAACTATCGGGTCTTTCGAATGTTTTTTTCTCTGACATTTTCAAACTTTATTGTAAAACAATGTGCATTCATTGGTATGTGTTTTTTATGCCTCTAGAATCAGATGTACGGATATTGGTTGAGATATCTTTGCTGGTTACTTGTAAGAATTAGAAGGTTGTTTTTTGTATTCTCTTCAGCTACTGATTATATGTAGCTTTTTGAAAATTAATTATCTTTCTCCTGTCAATAAATGGGGAAAGAATAGAAGAATAGACTTCTAAGCAGTAAAATGGGAGTGAAGAAGAATAAATATTCCACACTAGAAGAATAAATATTCCAACTAAAGTCAAGATGAAAGCAGCTAGTAGAAAAGAACTAAGGAACAGTATCGTACTAAGGAACAGCAAGATCTTTACTAAGTGGTACTAAGTATTTTCAGCAGATTTGTTTTGCAAAATTCGTGAAAATAGTTGACTGATCCCAAGAAGCAATGATTAGGCTACTAAATTCAGATTTAATTATGTATACATCTTTCCAGTTGTGTTTTTACACAACTAGTGTTCTGGTGATTGCCTGAGCAAAATAATTGCTGTTTTATATATACTTTTTTTTATAAATTAGGTAAAGGCTTTCTGAGGGCATATTCTTCACCTTTTGTTAGGTTAACTTTGGCTCTGCACAAACAAGGCTATAATGTTCTGCCCTGGCGATCTCTTCTCAGCGGTTTCTGTCACAAATAGATTGGTCCACCATGTGGAATGCAACTTCTTATCTTGATGCTTATACCTCGAATTTGCCAAAAATAATTTGAACTTTTTCAGTAAACTATTTTTCAATAAATACAGCTGACAGAATTTTTTTTCTACAAGACCTGAAACTCAAGTTTCAAGGGTTAAACTCTCTCTGCTGAAGTCAAACACTGTCTAGCACTGAGGGGATTAGAACCTCACCCAGAGTATTTCTGCGTGGTGACTGAATTGGAGCGGCTCCGTCATCTTTTATGTGACCTGAAATCAAGACTCTTAAATTCTTTGTGTGTACAGCTGGAAATAAGTTGAGTATTTTTCTATCAGCAAGTTCAGTGAACTGGCTTTTTCTCTGTCACTGTCATGAATTAAAAAAAACATATTTCTTTCACGATGTAGTCTGCTTTCTCCTCAGGAAGTGACATTATTTTGCGGTGTATTTTTCTACTGATGCAATATGTACTATTCCTAGGTCTTTGCTAGTAGAGTCCTAATTCCTGAAAGAGCACAAAAATAGGAATCATTGTGTGCTGGTAATGAGAACACTAAACTGAATTTACCTTTCTACTAAAACATCTTTTGTGATAAAACTTTACACAAGTGAAAATGAGATGCTTCCATTAGGCATATTGCAGCCAACTCCCTAGAAGAGAGGTGAAGAGATGGCATCCAGCCAGCACTGTTATTAACAAGAAGAAAGAGAGACAGTATCAGTGCATATAGCAAGAGATGGTAATGCTTTCCTCACTAGGGATTGCTATTTAGAAAGTATAATTTTTATTGCAACCTAAAGAGCCATAGACATTTTAAGGAACAAACTAAAGCTTGAAAAGACCGATTGCTAGCTTGAAGAACTTGAGAACTTGCAGTCGGTATAGTGGTTACTTTATGTGAACATGAGGTCATGTTTTTTTTCTGTATCAGGACATTTCTAATGTACTGGTGTCTCACTGAAATACGTGAGTGCTTTGGATATGTGAGTTTTTTTTTATTTTGTGGGGGATTTTGTTTTTACCATCAAGAAGTTCTGATATAATTTTGGTAGGAATACGTTTGTATAGCTTTGAGAACCTGTAGTCTACAATTCTTTCAATAAGGCTTCCTCTGCGGATACTGCAGTTTTCTGAGCTTTCTATTTTCTGAGCTTTCTATACATAGACTGTGAACTTTTAACTTTTGCTTGACCAGTATTGTGAATTCCAGAGTTACTGTAAACAATTTTTCCATTTCATCAATGCAGAATTTTAATCTTCTAAAATTGCAGGTAGGAGATCTGACTTTTAAAATTTTGTAAAGTATTTGCAAATGGACAGTTTGTATGCATTTTTTTCTCTGCTTCGTAGGTTTTGTTAAAAATAGAGTTTTGGAATATGAAAAATATAAGTAACTAAGTCCTTGCCTATCTGGGTATGATGTGCATGTTTAAACTGGGCTGTGGACAGATCTAGCTGTTCTTATTAAAGGTATTATATCCTCTTCCCTTCTGCTGCTTATTACCATCCATGAGACAGAGGATGCTGCCCTCACAGCTCTGCAGGTGCGGGGAAATGTGTGTTTCCTCAGCTGCTCTAGGCAAAGTCAACCAGGTTAATTCAAAATACCTTCTTGTGCTGTTTAAACTGACCTCACTGACTTTGCTTCAAACATTACACTGCCCATCATGCTGTAGCCTCTAGTAATAACCTCTGGCAAAGAAAATAACCAAGAGCTGATGAGGAAAATAGTTTTAATTGACATAGAAAAGAAAATGTGAATTCTTAGCCTGACAAACCTGACATTTAGAATATGGCGATGAAATCCCTAATAAGAAAAGCACTTAAGCGTTGGTACGTTTACATTTTATGGTTTTTCTAATGCAAGTTAAGCACCTGCTTAAGTAATTTGTATAACAAAACCAAATACCGTTAGATACTGGAAGGAGAACTAAATATTTTTAAAATTACTTGCCCAGCTATCTGAAGTTTTGCTTTGCTTGTTTTTTGTTTGTCCAAAATTATGATGTATACTTGCAGATTAAACTGTGTGCAAGTATAAAAATGAGTTTAAATTTAAGGAGGTTAAAACACAGAGCAGCTCATGGCACAAGAGCTTGTTCATTGTAATTCACTGTGACTCTCCTCGGAGATTTTCAGTTTTCAGTGGAGGAGATTGGACAGGATCCAGTATCCGCAGATGAGAAGCAGTGTTGAAATAAATCATGCTGTTCTGTTGTTTTCCATGTTTGGAGCCAAGTTTTAGGGAAGGATAGAAACTATATAATAACATATTGGGCAGAACCTCAGCTCAGTTTTGTAAGCAGTTAAGGCAATGGGAAATATATGCCTGATAGCAGGTGGGTCAAATAAGCATGTAGTGAGTGGAGTGTGCCCAAAATGAGAGAGGAAGACTTGTGATTGGCTTAAAGTAGCCTTTGCTATCTGCTATCAGGTATCTAAGGTGAAATTCAGCACCTGCTAAGGCAAAACAAGAAATAATTGTTGACTTCAAAGTTTTTATCCAAGAGTATTTTTTACTTATGATTAGACTCAAAGTTTGCTTGACTATGAAGTCCTAATTTGATCAGACTTATATCGTGTAGATTGAGACTGAAATGGTAATCACATTCATAGTCTAGCTTCTAAATTTACTTCTTGCAAAACCTGACTTCCTTTGCTTTTTTTCTGAGCTTACGTTTTCCCACAGTTCCAGTTAAGTACACAGACATCCCTTTGCAAATGATACCTTCCTATCCATCTTATAGGTGAAGTATGACAGAAGTGTAAATTAGTTCACACCTTTAGTCATGGGGCACTTCATGTGGAAACAAGTTTATCCAGAGCATTGGCAGTAACAAAAACATGGATCTGTCATTTGCTAGAGCTGAAGGAGTCATTCAAGTCAACAATTTCCTTGGAGGTATTCAGCATCTTTTCCTTCCACTTCTGTTTTTCCTCCTGGAATATCCATGGAGTCATTACAGTACCTCTGAATGTAGTTGTTGTTCTGATTTTCAGAGTTTCATTGGCAAGCT